TTGCTCATCTTTTACATATAACTGTATGGCTTGACAATGTCATGTTTCCTAGCTCTTCTCCTTTCCCTCTCGTGATTACTTAGTCCTTGAGATCCTGCTTTCTTTTTACTTGTATTATATCTTTCTATTTGTATTTCTTCTTTTGAGTTTTTATACTAGGGAAACTATACGATATTTACACATGTGTCTGGTTTATTTCACTTATGAGTATATGTTCAAGTGGCATCCACTTCAATATAAAGGCCTTGAGTTTATCATTCTTAATAGTTGAATAATACTCCATTGTGTAAAAATACCACATCTTTTTCAACTATTCCTCAAGTGATGGGCATCTTGGTTGTTTCCAAGATTTGTCTATCATAAATTGTGCTGCTATCAACATAGGCACACATATATTACTATGATATGATGTTTTCAGATCCTCTGGGAAAATTCCCAGTAGACCAATAGCTGGTTTAAATGGGATTTCCAGTCCAACTTTTCTAAGGAGTCTCCGTTTTTGTGTTTCTGCAGGCTGACATTAGTTCTATACGAGAAAACAAAGACAGACTAAGTGACAGTACTACAGGTAAGATAAAGACCGTCTGTTTCTTGTTCCTTTGACCAACCCTTCTTTTATTTCACGTCCATTAAAGGAGCCAAGGCCACACTGGGCTACTCTGTACAGGCATGAGAATGAGCCTGCTATCACAGAGCAGCCAGCTAGCCACAGGACTTCAGGGGACCTTAAACTGTATTTTAAAGAATCTCTTGAGTTTTTATATAAAAATGTAAATTAAAAAAAAAAACCCTGCCATTTTCTTCAATTACAGACAATAAGCTCCAGTGTATTAGAAGACCTGTGACCTGGCCATGGAGAGCATTCACAGTGTCCTATCACTTTACTGTTACTGCAGATATGTTGACTAGCCGATAGGAATACTGGCAGTATTACACCTGCCTCGGCATCTTATTTGGTGTGTTCCAGCCCAAGCATTTGGATAACCAGAGCCTATTAATTTTACCTTACACATTGAAAAACAGCGTTCTGAGATGTCTCAAACGATCGATTATCTCTTAGGAAGTTTAGTCTGATGTTGCTTGATAGGTTATAGTTTCTTTGGGCAAAGGGGCAGAGATTTGTTGAGAAGCTGTTTGCGGAATTTGCAAGGGAAGGTGATTACGGCTGAACTACATTAGTGGTGGTAGGCATAAAAAAAAAAACAGGATTCCAAAGATATTCTTAAAAAGAATAGTTAGACCTTGGACTTAGGAGATATAGTGAAGAAGGAAAAATCACCCAATATATAAGATTTCTCAAGTGACTGGAACGTGTATTGCAAGACCTACCAGTTCTCAGAATGTTCTGATGTACTTGTACTTCTCCTTGTGCCAAATACCACAGTGAGGCCACACAAGGAACTGAAAATCGCTGTTCATTGTGTGTGTGTGTGTGTGTGTGTGTGTGTGTGTGTGTGTAGGGGGTTCATAGTCTAGACTAGGGAGAGACAACTGGATTCAGCCAGAAGGTAGGTTTGTTAGAGGATAACAAAATAGTCATTTAAAAAAAAATTATCTTAAATTGTCTTTTTGCTTTTCCAAGGTGGTGATAGCCTATTGGATATAAGTTCTGAAGCTGACCAACAAGATCTTCTTGTCCTACTGCAAGCACGAGTTGCTTCTCTTACCTTACACAACAAAGAGCTACAAGATAAACTACAGGTAGGTAAACAGATTGCTCCCAGGGATTATTCTGTGGAGTCAAGTTACTGGTATTTTTCAGGGTAGTCAGGTGTGCTTTGTTTTAAATACAGACATTTTTTCCTTTTTTAAAGAGTAGTTGTCTTCAAGCATTTTATGTTTTCACATTATGTTGTTCCTTGAGAGCCAGTAGAACTTTTTTTTAAATGTTCATTGATTTTATTTCTAGAAATTGGCAAATTACATATAATTATATATATTATGGCATATGTGGCAAACATATTAAAATTTAAATATAGGTTTTATAAATAAAATTTACATAAATAAAACATTTACTTAAATATATGCATGTACATACATAATTTTTATGTCCAGATTTTTATATTTAAATTTTCATATACATTAAATTTTTTTAGATGAGGGCTTCCTGTGTTGTCCAGCCTCATCTTGAACTCATGATCCTCTTTTAGCTTCCTGAATAGCTGGAATTACAGGTGTGTGCCATTACATCTAGCTATGCTAAAATTTTTATACTAAAAAATACAAATATTTATATATAGGTATTATATTAGCCATTCCTTTAGGGCTGGGGAAATGGCTCAGTAGAATAAGCACTTACCTGGCAAGTGCAAGGGCCTGAGTTCAATCCCCAGTTCCACAAAAAAAAAAAAAAAAAAAAAAAGTAAAGCTGATGATCTAACAGTTTTACAGAGTTGATAAGACATAACTAGGGTGTGCCCATCCCCAAAAACTAGATATGAGAAACAGGAAAAATCCGAATCAGACAGTTTTCAAACAATTCCAATGACACAAGTAATATGTCCTCATAGAACACACAATGCTCTTTGTGTCCTCCATCCAACTCTCACATCCCAGACTGTAGTTTTTTAATCCTGAAAGAATAAATCCATGAGCTGGGAATGGCAGCGCATGCCTAGAATTCCAGCACTTGTGAGGCAGAGCCAGGAGTGGGATCTCCCCAAGTTTAAGACCAGTCTGGACTACATCATGAGACCCAACGAAAAGAGTATCTGTATGAAATGATCATGCTGCTCTTCTGTAGCTAAGTTTCGACGTGTTCCTTTCCCTCCAGGTGGTTGCTCACGTAAGCATGCCTTGAGTGCCATGTAATTCCTACTTTCTCTCCTCCCAGGCCAAATCACCCAAGGAGACAGAAGGTGATCTAGGCATTGGCTCGTTCCGTTCTGTTCATTCTGATTTGGCTCCTTCCCTGGGCAAGCCTAGTGATGCTGATTCTCCAGATCCCCAATCATCTCCACCTGGTGCAACGCTTTCTTCGGGGAAATCCACTGCAGACAGCAGAATTCAGCAACTACAGGAGAGTTTGCAAGACTTGCAGAAGAGATTGGAGAGCTCTGAGACAGAGAGAAAACAGCTACAGACCGAGCTCCAAACCCGAAGGACAGAACTAGTGTGCTTGAATAGCACAGAGATTTCAGAGAACAGCTCTGACCTCAGTCAGAAACTTAAAGAAACTCAGAGCAAGTATGAGGAGGCCATGAAAGAAGTCCTCAGTGTGCAGAACCAGATGAAACTGGGTCTCCTGGCACAGGAGGGTGTGGATAGCTATTCGTGTCTCCATGAGCTGAGGGTCACTGATGAGAAAATAGATGAATTAAAGCGAGATCTGCAGAATGCATTAGAAGAAAGTGAAAGAAATAAAGAGAAAGTGAGGGAGCTGGAAGAAAAACTTGTGGAGCGAGAGAAAGGCGCAGTGATTAAACCACCTGCGGAAGAGTTTGAGGAAATGAAAAGTTCATATTGCTCTGTTATTGAAAACATGAATAAGGAGAAAGTGTTTTTGTTTGAGAAATACCAAGAGGCCCAAGAAGAAATAATGAAATTGAAAGATACACTAAAAAATCAGACAACACAAGAAGTTAGTGATGAAACTGGGGACATGAAAGAGGCCATGAACAGGATGATAGATGAACTTAACAAACAGGTGAATGAGCTGTCGCAGCTGTACAAAGAGGCCCAGGCTGAGCTCGATGATTATAGGAAGAGGAAATCTTTAGAAGATGTGACAGCTGAATATATTCACAAAGCAGAGCATGAGAAACTTATGCAAGTGTCAAATGTATCCAGGGCTAAAGCAGAAGAGGCACTGTCCGAAATGAAGTCTCAGTATTCAAAAGTGTTGAATGAGTTGACCCAGCTCAAGCAATTGGTAGATACACAGAAAGAGAATTTTGTGTCTATCACGGAACATTTGCAAGTGATAACCACTCTGCGGACAACTTCGAAAGAGATGGAAGAGACAATAGGCAGCCTTAGGGAGCGTCTTGCAAGCAAGGAAGTGGAATTGGCAAAACTGGAGAAGCAGCTCTTAGAGGAGAAAGCTGCTGTGACCGATGCCATGGTACCCAGGTCTTCCTATGAGAAGCTCCAGTCATCTTTAGAGAGTGAAGTGAGTGTACTCACATTGAAGCTAAAGGATTCAGTGAAAGAGAAAGAAAAAGTCTATTCAGAGTGTGCCCACGTTCGAAATGAAGTCTCACAGGTGAAAAGGGAAAAGGAAAACATTCAGACTCTCTTGAAATCCAAAGAGGAAGAAGTAAATGAACTTCTGCAAAAATTCCAGCAAGCTCAGGAAGAAATTGCAGAAATGAAAAGATATTCTGAGAGCTCTTCAAAAATGGAGGAGGATAAAGATAAAAAGGTTGGTAGTACTGTTTTTGTTGGGCTTCTAGCTCACAGTTCCAGGTGCTTCGACCTCTACTATGTTAAACATAAATAAGACCTTTTTTTGGTACTAAATTGTTGTGAATGTTTAGAGGCTCTGTACATGACTATATCTGTCCTCATCAAGACTAACATGTTGGATACTGCTTTCAATAAACCACCCATCTTCATCTACTTCTTATGCTAAAGTGTTTTCATGTATGTGGTGTATATTTACCTTTAAAAATCATTTTCTAGAGGTTCTACCAGTGTTGTGTAGAAGTATCTGAAAAGTGTGAACTGGCTTGAATTTCAGTTGTGCTCTTCAGGTGTGCTGGAAGCTGCTGCTGCTTCAGCAGGTCACATAGCTGCCTGAATGGATTCCTCTGCATGTAGAAATCAAATACTCTCAGATTTAATCTTGTTTTCCAAAGCACCATGGTCTTCTCACTCTCGGAGTCAGGAGATCTGGTACAGAGAAAGAAGGGAAGCGAAGTGTTAAGTTCAGTATAATTCTTCACCTCAGTCTGTTGTGTACCCTAGTCCTCTGTAATACAGGTTATGAATGGTATTAAATTACAATTTATTTTGTGATAGTTCAGATTATTTCAAAAAGGCTTCAAAAGCCTATGGGGGATTTAAAAAAAGCTTATGGGGTGGAGATAGAGAATTTTGATGAGTTGGGAGCTGCTGACTGCCGTGTCAGTAATACTGGATTAGAAATAGTTCTCTCCAAATATAAAATGTCTCTAATTCTACATCTTTTTTGCCACTCCCCTTTTAAAGAGGGTCAGTGTCGCTCATGCACCAACACAGAATATGTAATTCACGGGCCATTATCTGAATGGAATAGATGTAGGGAACTTTGTTGGTTTGCCTCCTCTTTCATTTTATGGGCTTTCTTGAAAAATAGAAAATAAAAGGAATTCATGTTCCAGAGAACTACGTTGGAGGCACAGAGATATCTGAACATTTGCTTCTCTAAGGACATTGCTGCCTATTTGATGCGGTTTTCCTTTCTCACTAGATCAATGAGATGTCAAAGGAAGTCACGAAGTTGAAGGAGGCCCTGAACAGCCTCTCTCAGCTCTCCTACTCAACAAGCTCATCCAAAAGACAGAGTCAGCAGCTGGAAGTGCTTCAGCAGCAGGTCAAACAGCTCCAGAACCAGCTGGCTGTGAGTGGGCTCATCCCGCTGCCCGGTGTGGGGTGGAGGACCAAACAAATTACATACCTCCTCAGCTGTTTAGACAAGCCTCCATGGATAGAAAGGCTTTCTGTCTAAAGGAATGTTGCACTTAATTGAGCGATGACACTGATGGATTTTCTAGGCATCATCTGCATTGAGATGGGTTAGATGTGTCACTAGGAGAGAGGACTTTGTAGGACGGTGGGAGGACAGGCTTTGTTCACTCTTCTAACTTTTCACCCTTCTCATTTTCCTACAGCAGTCATTCCCTATCAATCCCTATCTCTAACAGTGGTGAGAGCTTTTTCTTATTATGGATTAGGAGCTTATATATACCTAATTGAAGCTGCTTCTTGGCCCCTTTATTTCACCAAGGAAAACCCTTTTATATCTGTATTAGTTTGCTCTGGCAGTTGTAACAAACTTGGTTTGAAACCTGATCAACTTATTATATTAGGGTTCTAGAGATTATAAATCTTAAATCAGCCAGTGAGATAGCTCAGTAGAATAAGCACTTGCCTGGCAAGTGCAAGGTCCTGAGTTTAATCCCCAGTTCCACAAATAAAATAAAATTCTCAAATAAATCCTAAATAGTTGCACTGGACTGAAGTCAAGTGATGGCAGGGCTGGCTCCTTCCCAAGGCTCTAGGGGAGAATCCATCTTGCCTTTCCATCCAGAGGCCCCCTGCTTTCCTCCGCGTTCGGCCCCCTGTCCATCTTCTGAGCACATCTCTGTAGCTTCTGCTTCTATTTTTCTGTCTCCTCATTGTGCCTTTGAATTTCTTGCCTCACTTTTTTAAGGACCTATGTGATTATAATTAAAGCCATATTCAGATGATCTATTCCAATCTATCTCTAAATCCTTAATAACTTGTAAAAGAGCACTTTGCCATATAAGGAGATAGTCACAGGTTCTAGGGATTAGAATGCGAACATCTTTAGCGGGTTATTAAAACAGCCCACCACGATACCTAGTGAAGTTTTAGTTGGCAAGGGTCTGCTACATTTTCTGCATGAGTTCAGGGTTAGTCTGTCCTTGACTATCTGCAGCTTACATTAACAGTGTGGATTTCATGGTTTCTTTAAACTTAACACTAGTGAATTCAGTTCTCTGCAGTCATCTCACTAGCCACAAAGTATACTACTAGTTTGTTGGTATTATTAGCTTTAGCAGTGGTGGAAAATTTTGGAGATGATCTTCATGGGAGTTTTTAGGTCATTCTCTTAGAATAGTTATCTCAGATTTGTAGATCAAGTGCTAATCATTTACAGTAGTAATCACTGAATGTGTAGTTTTGAGCGGCTATACATTAGTATTTCACATGAAGCCACTGATGTAAGACGAATATTCATTGATATGAAAATGAGTAAGATAGTCTTGCTCTCAGAGAATTTATACTCATAAAGTTACTATCGTATGTATCCACTAATAAAAGGACCCCCAACATGTTGTAGGATACAGGGGAAGTATGTATACCCAACCCAGGTGAGTGACAAGAAGCATTCTACAGGAAGAGATGCTTGCCCTGAGTCTTTTTTTTTTTTTTTTTTTTTTAACTCAGGCCCTGTGCTTGCCAGGCAAGCACTTATTCTGAGCTATCTCCCCAGCCCCTATCCCCTGAGTCTTGAGAGGATGAGTTATTCATCGTTATTCAGCAAGGACTGAGGTGTACTTAGATGGCCATTTGTAACCTTAGCAACAACAATTCAAGTGGAGTGGTGAGACAGAATCTGGACTGTAGTAGGCTGATTACTAGAGAAGTGAATAAGTGGGTAAGGTTCTGTTGGGTTGAAGAATCATAGCTAAAGTAGCCTGCAGTAGGTTAGCTGGGAAGACAGGAGATTGTGATTAAAAGCTAGGATGCTTTCATTTGTGATTTCAGAGGTAATGATGCAGTCTGAGAGAGTGGAGCATGTCACTGCAGCTCAGGTTGAGGAGCTGAGCGATTTGGGTGTTAGGTGGACCATTCACACAGATATTAAAACAACCAAACAATAACAGAAGTAGGATTGTAAAAGAACACAGTAACCAGGAGATAGTTACAAATAATCGTGTGGTGGATAGCAGAAAGGTGGGAAGGAAACAACTCAAAAAAAAAAGTATATACCACATGAACCTTCTTTTGATACCAATATCACAGAACTGAGATTTCAAAAGTCTAATAGGAAGAATCTCTTGCCTTCTGATATTGATAGAAGGTAAGAGTATTGGTAGGCGCTTATAGACTGCTAAAATAATCCATTTGTGATTGTCCTGACTTTCATGATGTAGGACAAAAGAGTGTTAGAATGAGAAGAGTTCAGAGCTGAGTTAGGATTCTGGAAACAGCTGACGAGAGTAATCAGAGCAATAAGCCAACAAGGAGAAATAAAGTCATCAACAGCTATACCGAAGAACCCCTTGAGATTTGGGGCTAAGACCTTTTTACTTTAGTGTACTAGCAGCTAGCAGTTGAGCTCTCAGGGATTTGTGCTGCTAGTATATAACACCAGCTACCCAGTGAGAGATCAATAACTCCTTTAAAAAGCATAGATTAATAAATATCTGGCCACTGTAGGAAAGTGGGGAAATACAGAAAACTCTTTTAAAAAATCCCTATAAATAAAAATTGCTCATAATTCAACAATTCTGAGAAAATCATATTTTGCATTTGATTTTATTTCTTGGCAATATTTGTGTCTCTGTATTTGCATAATTTGTGAATTACACTTTTAAAAGGAACTTATGGTTATAGTAATTTTTACATAAATTTTCTGTTGGAGTTGACAATATGAAATAGGTAGAATATTTTCCTAAGAATACTGACATATTCAGAAATACACAAGCTCATGAACCCAACAACATTATTTACTTATTTATTTTTAATTTTTTTGCGGTACCAGGGATTGAACTCAGGACTTTGCGCTTGCCAGGCAAGTGCTTATTGTACTGAGCCATCTCCCTGGCCCGAACTCAACAACTTTAGAAGCTTCCTATGCTAGCCTATAGTGGGAATCAGTTGTATAGCTTCTGATTTCAGTATTATTGTTTGTGTGTGTGTTTATTCCTTAAAGATCACCAAATATTGTCAGTAATGTCAGATCGTCTCTTTCTAGGAATGCAAGAAACAGCACCAGGAAGTCGTATCAGTTTACAGAATGCATCTTCTGTATGCTGTACAGGTATGGCTATAACACCCAGTGAACTATCTAGACACTCTAAAGAAATAGAGCAACAGGTTCACCCAAACTCCCACCAGTATACTAGAAGAATCCTGTTCACTGGCAAAAAGTCCATTTATGTCAAAACATTCATGCTCTATTGACTAAAAGCAGCTTCGGCATTTATAGAGGAAGTGGTTTCTTCCTCTATTGAGAATAGCCTCGCTTCACTTCCCAGGCATCCTATATTCTTTGAGCCCCCAGCACTATCTTCCCTATGTGATTGCTGATGCTGTGGCTAGCTGGATTCGTATTTACAGCTAGGACCCCAGATTTCTTTTGCTAAAGTCTTTAGTAGATTCAGCTTCCTCATCCTCCAGATGGATAAAAGCAGAGCCCTCTCTTTTACTCAGTTCCTCATGGAAGTTGTGAGAATCGAATCCATGTATGTGACATTTCTCTTAAAGCCAGTCATCTCATTGCCCCGGGGAGAAAAAGGAGATGATCTAATTAATGTTCTAATAAATGTCTTTTGTGTGAATTTCCTAGGGCCAGATGGATGAAGATGTCCAGAAAGTACTGAAACAAATCCTTACCATGTGTAAAAACCAGTCCCAGAAAAAGTAAAGTGGATCCGTGGCAAGACTCTGCCCCTCATTCATCTTTGTGTTAGATCCGGAGTTAGTGGTGACCACTGCCGTTATTTTCACTTGTGGTATGCACTGTGACCAGCATAGCCTCTTCCCTCTCCAGTGTTTCTGGGGACTAGCCCCAGAAGGCTGTCCTCCACAGAACTGCTTAGACTTCAGACCTGCAGAGGGGACAGTCCTAGGCATCCTTGCAGATCCCATGGCTGGGATTAGCCACACTAGGAGTCTGCTCCCGGTGGTGACAGGTGGCCACTCTGCTTGGTACCTGGACAGCTGCCGGCTTTATCACCGAGTGGTCTGCAGAGGCTTACATGCAGTGAATGCTGCTTCCATTCTGCCTTTACCTGTGCCAGTCAGCATAGGAGAGCTTTTTTTTTTTTTGCCTTTGGCTTCAAGTCCCAAAACATGATTGATTTCATTTCTAACCAAATTAGTAAGGCACTAGCTATGGAGTGCATGCTTAAGACCATTCATCACAACAGCCTGTAAACTTAAAAGCTCTAATTAATAGTTTCTCCCCAGCGGCCTTATGTATCTCATCACCCTGTTTATGAATTTCAGTTTGATGAGCACTATTAACTAAAATATGAAGTTTAAAAACAAAAGCAAACTGTCCATAAAAGTTTTTAGGTAACTCATTACCATATTACAAATTTTCTATGCAAACTTGGCTTCTGCTATTATCTGTGAATCTCAGGAAATCCAAATATTTGTTTCAACAAGGGATAGTAAACTGTATGTTTACAGCCAAAAGAAATGCCTCCGAGTTCGTAACCTCAATTTTTAAAAAGTGTTTTCTCTATAATATTTTTATTGGCTCTCAAAGACATTTTCATATCTAAACCCTCAATAAGTGAAATTGCATTAGATTATATTAACAAAATATTTTTAGGTAATCATGTGTAAGACTTTTTGAAAATAGAACTTTCTCCTCAAAGTTTTCAGCTATAGAAAAGGTAGTTGTGTATTCAAATCTTAATATAAGCTGCCCCTTAGACCCCTAGGACTTTTCTGCCAGTGTTCAGAACTATAGTGCATTTCTGAATACAGTAAATCCTCTTCTTGCCTGTTGAATATTTTCAAATGTCCCAACTCCAAAAGCCCCTATAAATTATCTCTGGAAGAACTGCAAATACCAAGCAGCTTTTTAACTCTGAAACTAAAAATCTTGATATGGTAACATGGTGCATAGCAAAATACGGGAAAATCTTGTTCCCTTTACTTTCAGGTTGAAAATGTTTCTCTAGCTTGCAGCTCCTCTTACGGTATTGATCTTGAGGGAGATAAACAGACTATAGTACTTGTAGCATAAAACTTAAAAGTAGAGCCTGTTCTCACAGGGCCCAGGGATGCCTGGGCTCAGAGGGTACTTGGCTCACCTGGATGATAAATTAATCTGTATTGGACAAGGACCAATGACAGCAAAACAAAAATGGCTTTAAGCTTGATGTTGTTTCTTAAGTTGTTAAATTAGAGCTAAGCAATGTCAAAAAGACTCCAAAGAAATGTGAAAGGACTTTTTGTCACAGCACTTAAGAAAAAAACAACCATCTTCATTGCCCCCCCCCCGAAATGCTGCAGAGTATAAAACTTGAGACATTTTGTAGGACGCCTGACAAAGTGTAGCCTTTTATCTTATTTCAGGATGCATATTTATTACAAGTATTCTGGTTAAATATTGAAAAGGTATATGCTGTAGTTTAGCATTTTGTCTCTGTAATTTACAGAAATTCCTGCAGAAAATAAACATTTTTCATTTTGCATCTCTGTTGTGGATTTTTGGTATTGCAGAAATGTATCTGTGGTTTCTAAAGATCAGTTTAAGGGCATTTCATGTGATGGTTTTTGTGTCATGCATGATGCTCACATTGTGGGCGCGCTCTGCATTGCATCCCACCAAGTCTCCCACTGTCCCTCCCACTTCCTGGAGTCACCTTGGGGTCCCCCCCAAGTATCAGACCCTTTTGGGTAATTATAACACTGTCACTTAATTGTAGTCTTTTCATCTCTTTGGAAACCTCCACTGGATTCTTCCCCTTCTAGTTTTCTTCATTCTTTTTAAAAAAAGTAGGGCTGGGGAGATAGCTCAGTGGCATAAGTGCCTGCTTGGCAAATGTAAAGTCCTGAGTTCAATCCCCAGTACCAAAAAACAAAACTAAACAAAAATCTGTTTTAAAAAAAATAAATAAATAAATAAAACATGGTTTAAATTCATCCCTGAAAAGTCTGATAGGATGAAGGTTAAAAATCATAAATAAAATACCAAATGTTAGTGAAATAAGTGTAATTGTTTAAGTAATTAGCATTATCAGAAAACGCAGTAACGAGTGCCATCACCTCTAGTTCAGCTCCTCTTGCTGTTTTATACTATACACTGAAACTTGATTTCAAACACGTGTCATGCTCAGTGCTTACTTAATTGAACTTTCAGTGCTTCCTCTTCCCCCACCAAAGTACGAATCAATAAAAATAATCAAAAGGTATGTAAGGTTATTTCTACTTTCAATGATTAATCATATGTATCTCAGGAGAAGAATTTATTTCGACAAGGGCAAACCTAGTGACTCAGATAATTTCATGAGGATACTCTGTTGGGTAAAAAACCTAAATAAACCCAAACCCATCTTTTTAGATAGAAAGAAATACCCCATAAATAAACCAAAGAGAAACTTAGTGATCCAATTGCAGGCTAGAACTATAGGACAAATGAAATATATAAAAAATGATTCTCTTTCTTACTTTTTACCCTTAGCTAACCTTTAAGCTATTCACTTTCGTGTGTAATTCTGAGACATTCTATGGAGACATGTTGTTCCCTTCAAACATCTCAAAGACTGTTCTGTCAGCTTCCATATCTCATTCTTCTTAATTGCTGGGTAATATTTCGTAGTGCTGTACTTTATTTTGGTTCCTCATAAGTGGGCCTGTAATTTGCTTCTAGTATTTTACAACCACAAAAATGATGCAGGGACTCCTATGTGTAAAGGTCTCCACATAGGTCATAGTTTCCCAATTGTCCATTTTTACATAAGCTTCTACGATAATAAAGAGTTAAAAGAGTAGTACATCATTACAGTGAGTGGAAAAGAATGGATTTTTCTTCTGTACTGATTGAACAATATATTAATTTGTTCTGCTCCTTATATAAACTTGTTAAGACAGGCTCTAAATTTAATAATTAAACCCACCCACTTAAGGGAAACACATATTATTTGTGAGGGAAAGACGCCCAGAACATGTTGAAGCTCAGCCTTCGTATGTGATGTAACTGAAATGCTGGGTGCTGACAGAAGCACAAACAGGCTCCAGCAGAGAGAAAGGTGATGCTTTCTGAGCAAAATTAAGAGGCAGATGGTAAGGCACAGGCAGCTGGAAAATGCAGCCGATCAAAGTAACAGGACATACGCCGAGTAGCAGTGCCTGTCCGCTAGCTCAGGGAAGAAACTGTCCAGTGGCATGGGTGTGGTGGTCTGGAAAAAGCCAAAAAACTCAACTGTGCAGCTGCATAAACGGGTGACAGAAGCTGGCTGGGGGACAATTTTGGTTCCAACACATGGAAAGGCTTCCCTAAGAATTCAGCCCCAGAAGATGGTAAGTAAGAGGGAAAACACGTTCCTAAACATTTAAGTCAGGCCCTAAAAGGACACATCCAGGACTCAGTAGACATACCAGATTATAAAATGGTGACTGCACAGAAGTGAGAAAAGGAGGATACTGCTAAATAATGTTAACTTCTACTAGAAGAGATGTAATAAGGGCTTCCATAGTGCTACCTCCAAAAGCATTTAAAGGTATGCATTTAATTGAGGTAAAAACACTCAGAACAGGGGGCTGGTGAGATAGCTCAGCTGACTAAGGCACCTGCCTAGGCAAGTGCAGGTATGAGGTTTGATCTCCAGCACCACATACTGCACCAGCCCTGCCCCCAGGGCGGGCTGAGCTGGCTAGAGACCAGGTGTGGTGGCATTCGCCTGTAATCCCAGCACTGGGGAGGTTGAAAACGGGAGGATCACTGTGAGTCCAAGCTGCATATTGAGACCCTGTAACAACCAAATACATTTAAAAAAAAAAAAAAACTCAGAACAAAGTTCCTCTGCCCCCCAAGATATCCATCTTTGTAATCCCCTGAAGCTAAGAATATATTACATTTTGTGAATATTAAATATGTTAAACTATATAACCAAGGAGAATTAAAGTGGGATTTTTAAGATCAGCTGTAGACGGAATTAAGAATTAAAGAAGTTTGGCGACATGCTGGTAGCTTAGAAGATAAAGGAAGAGGGCTGGGGAGATAGCTCAGTGGAATAAGTGCTTGCCAGGCAAGCATAATGTCTTGAGTTCAATGCCTGGGACCACAAAAAAAAAAAAAAAAAAAAAGGAAGAAGTCCTAAATTAAGGAATGGAGGATGGCTGTAGGCACTGGAAAGGCAACCAGAAAATTTCCCCACAGCTTCTAGAAAGAACCACTCTGGCTGACTTCTTGTCTTTGACCAAATGACAGCCATTGTAGACTTCTTGACTTACAGACTTATATTTTACCATATAATCAATTTTCAAGTCAACAAGGTTGTAGTAACTTATGACAGCAACAATCAGAAACTGATCACAAAACACTGAAAGGCCAGAATCTACTAATCCCAAAGACGATTCAGTTTAACAGATATTACTGTGAAGGAGAACTAAGAGTAGGAGGAGGAAGGGAAAGAAAAATAAAAGAATGAAAGGAAAAAATACAAAGCTCAATGTAAATGAAAAGGGGAAGAAGAGTTGAAAGAAAGGGAAAGTGATAGGAGTGAAAAAAGACATTATGTGTAGGTACAAATTTGCTATGATGAATGTGATCTTTATGTATGATAAATATGTACTAAATTAAAAAATAAAGCAAATGTTATTGAACATGTATTTGTCCTGTGTTGAATGCTGTGAGTTCAATGGTAAGAGTAGTTCCTGCTTACAAACTTGTGCCTGGTCAAATGGCCTGCTGCCTCACAGGTGTTGAGTATTCACTGGGTAGGAGGATTTATTCTCTGTAAGGACCTGAAAGGCCTGATGCCCCAAACTTTACCCAGTCTCCTATGACTTTCCTACTTTTACTGCTTTTTCTTGCTGCCTCAGAGCCCTTACATTTGCTATTAACACTCTAGGATGTTCTAGATATTTGCATAATTTGTTCCCTCATTTCCTTGAGATCTCTGTTCAATGTTATCTTGTAGAGGTCATGTTCAACTCCACTGTAGCATACAAGTTAGTTCACTTGACTGAGAGGGTCAAGTTGTGAAACCCAGGCTGCCGTTTCAAGAGATGTACTCCTTAGAAGGGGTCTGAGCCTAACTGAAGGAAGCTTTTTCTCAAAAGCATACAACATTTGTCTACTACCTAAGCCATGCACCTTTTTCTAACTAGCAGAGATACCCTAATGCTTATTAGGATCTTTGCTTTTTGCCCGCTAGAAGCATCTGTCAAAAATCTTGGTCCATGTCTTCATCTCTGCTTTTTGACATGCTTAGAACAGTTCCTGGTACATAAGTACCAATGCGGTGGGAGTTCACAAGTAAAGCATCTAACCCTGTCTTGAAAGGCCAAAAATGTGTTGCAAGAGAACATATATTTGCACTTCCTCCTCTTTACATTTCACAGTTCCTGGGGTTGGAACATTTTGGAGATGAACATATTTGGATACAGGGTTGAAGGAGTCTAGAAGTACTCTTCACACATGCTTCCTTTGTGTGATTTGTGCAACAGCAATACGTGCTTCTTCTGTTGATACTGAAGGAATGTAAGTGTGTGTGTATAAAAGCACTGCCTGCCAGCCATTCCATTCCAAAGCTAGCAAACAAATCCAAAATGCATATGCAACGATAATACTTACTAGCTGGAGGACAGGATAAGATCGCAAGGGGAGTATTACAGAGGTTTGAAACTAAGAGTCCCTAAGGTTCTCTTTGATTGATAATTTTACAAACAAGAGCAACATGCTTCTTGGCACAGCTAATTAAAGGGAGGCAGCAATTATCACACTTCAGCAAAAGCAAATGTTTTGGAAAGACTGCTTCTTTTAATATATTCAGAACATTATAGCCATTTCCTAGAACATAAAACTTTTTCAGTTGCATGATTCCCCACTTAAGAAGGGGTAAAAGAAATATGTTATTACACAGGAATGAGGTTTTCCCATTTTTTATTTCCACAAACGTTAGACACTTGCTAGTCACAAAAATCCTTGCAGAGCCCTGGAACTGGAAAGGGCTTAGGATGATGAAAGTGATCTTTATATATGACAAATATGTACTAAAATAAGTTAAAAATACAGCAAATATATTTGCCCTGTATTGAATGCTCTAAGCTCAATGGTGAGAACAGTCCCTGCTTAGAAAGCTGTAGCTGGTGAATGACCTGCTGCCAGCACATCATACAAGGACACCCACCATATACTTTAAGACCCATGGGACTTGTCTCAAACCATCTGGAGTTACAACCAGAGACATCATCTTGGTCTTACCATTGGTCCATACTAACGATTCTCTTGTGAAGAATTAATGGTAGAATATTTACAAAATTTTGGCTCTGGACTTTGGTACAGATTTTAACCTTGAGTTAACAGACCATTCAGGTTTTAGTTAAGAGATATTTAAGTAAGCTCATCTAGATAATTCTTCTGCCCTGAAAAGCGTTTTTGGCAGCTCTGGCTCAATGGCAAATAAACCTCTACCCTAGAGTTAAGAGTTGAAAAGAACAAACACCGAATATAAATTCCATCTTTCAAGACCTCAGTATTTTCCTTCTCTACTTGGCCTGCTGTTTTTTCATTGAACGTGAGACATGTCCACTCCATCTTGACTTATCACGGCACCAATCAATTGTAGGGTTCATGATAACACCGTTAAAGGGCACCTGGGCCACTAGGGCTGTGCATTTGGGTACTGGTCACAATTTTCCCTGCGCCTATGTGCATTACCACAGTGTGTTTCAGGTCACAAAGAGGTGCGATATAAGAACATATGGCTGCGTAATTTAGGGCTCTGTGGTGTTTGCACGCGTGCCCACCTCCCTGGTAACCACTGTGGCCCATTTCCTACTTTACCCACTTCCTGGTCCTCTGCTTTCCAAACAAGCCTAGCTCCAGGCTTACCGGGTCAGGCTACCCAGACGACGCCCCACGGTCAACAGCTACTACAGCCGAGCCTGTTCCTCTGGGGTTCCCACAAGCAGGGCACCAGAGGCTTCTGAAGTGTGCCTAGCGGTGTGCAGGCCGACCACCGGCGGTTGTCGCGTGATTCCTCCAGGTGCCACTGCTTTAAGCCAGCCGGGCCCTGGAGCCGGCCTCCTTCCGGTCTTCCAATGGTTTTCGACCTCTTCCCGCACCTTCACCTCCGCGAGGCACATCCCTACGCGACAGTCACCGCTGGACAGTTCAGGGCAGCAGCGAGGCCGGGTCAGGCCCGAGGTGGCGGAGGTCGCGCGGAAAGAGAGCACCGCAGACCGTGGGGCTGCGACCGCCAGGGCCCCCGGGACCGGAAGCGTTCCGCGTTGCCATGGCTACGGGCGCCTTCGCCCCGCCCCTAGCGTGCGGTTCCCGTGGCAACTCCACGGTTTGGGCGGGGCGGCAGGCGTCCCAGACGGACCTCTTACCTCTCGCCGTCGTGGCCCCCAGGTCGAGGTTGCCTGAGGCCCGGACGCTGCGTCGCCCGCCGTGGCGAACCCCGGGGCTGAGGGAGCCCGAAGCCAGCTCCGGGGCGGGGCTGCGCGGCCCCGCTCACGCCGCCATCCGGGCCTCGGGAAGCCCGCGCTGGCGCTCCGAGGACCGGCAGTCCGAAAGGAGGCAGCGCTTCGCACTGGAGAGTAGGGCCGGAGTGGGGTGGCCTGATTCTCAAGGGCCCTCCTCAGGACAGGGCGTGCGACAGATCAGACGGAGCCTGTTGCCCCGGCTGTAGTTTTCGAAGTAGGGATTAGAAAGAAAAGATTAGTGAGCCTTCCCTCCCGATGTTCAGAGTCAAAGCTGCTTGCAGATCCCGTGGGAATGAGTGACATTCTGTGGAGCGAAATGGGGAGCGCCTGGGTGGGTGCTAGTGTTCATAATGTCACTGTGCGTTACATTTGGGTTCGATTGAAGCCTCAGAGATGGGTCTTCAGAAATGAATTTCGCAACACTTCCCACCTTGTGTTTACTACGCCTAGCCTCAACCAGAATTGACTCATGGATCTTGTCTCTTTAACTAGAACTTCCTGTTAGGTAGTGAAAGGACCCCTGGGAGAAGGTGGAGAGTTAACCAGTACCCTGACTGACCTCCACTTAGTAGGAGAGGAGAGGTGCTTGCTCTGTTCGGCTCTTCTTTCCTTCAGGTCGGCCAAACATTGCAGATGTCAGTAGATGAGCATATGTTTGGGTGATCCAGATGTAAAGGCGCAACTTTTTAAAAGCTACAAGCAAGTCCACAAAATTAGAAGTAAAATGGAGTTGAAATGGGGTGGGGCTCAGATCAATTTCTTTCATTTGTCAAATGCCTTTAATTTCTGCTCTGTGAGGGTCCTCATGTGAGTCTGCACAGTCTGTTCATGGGTTGTAGTTGGTAGCTTAGTTTGAAGTTAGTTGCTTTCAACATGGAACATAGATCAAGTCCTGACCTCAGCCTTGCGTCTCAAAGCTGACCTTACTTGTGATTCTTGGTAGGAGAAAGATGCAAACCAACCCCATCTACATCCCAACCGTTAGCAATGACCCCGACTGGGACTTCTGCTTCAACCTGTAAGTAGTAGAGAGCCTTGACATCTCACTCAGTGTCCCAAAACACTCAGTCCTCTCACTTAGGACAAGCCTGGGTGAAAAACGTAGCATGCCATTACAAAAGCTTCTACAGTAGGATTTAGTAATAGTTATGGTGTTATAGTCACTTGAATCTGTAACTTACATGCTAAGATGGAAGATAATTGTTTTTTCTCTAAGAAAAAAAAAAGTTTTAAAAATAAAGACAAGAAACTCAATCTGGTGACACATCCCTATATAGAATAGGTTATTTATAAAAAATGAGACTAGTAATGTCACAGAAAAAATTGAAAGTCAGTAAGTTGTTTTGTAAAATAAAGAGAAAATGAGTAAATAAAAAATTTCACATGATAATTCCTGATACACACTTGAGGACATATTATGTGCCTGTCCCCTAGCAATCCTGTGAAGACGCTACTGACACTACCCCATTTATAGATGAGGGATATAAATCAAAGAGAGATTAGGCAGGTTGCCCAGTCATACAGCTAGTTAGTGGTATGGAAACTAACCTGACTTCATAGTTCATTCTTTCTTTAACCATTCCTCTGTAACAGGGTTTCTCTACTTCTGCACTACTGACATTTTGGGTTGAATGACTGTAGTGGAGGCCCATGCTGTGCCTTGCAGGATATTTAGCAGCATCTGTGGCTTCTACCCTGTAGATGCTAGTGTCACTGTCCCAGTCATGACAACCAAAAATAGCTCCAGACATTGGCAGATGGCCCCAGGGAGTAAAATCAAATCATTCTTGATTTTACCATTACTCTGTATCTTTCTTATCCAATAGAAACATATAATGCAAGCCACAAATATAAGCCACATATTAAAAAGTAAAATGAAACAGATGAACTTAATTTTAATCCCATGTATAACTTAATATATTCAGAATAGTATTATATAAAATTATTAATGAAGGATTTTATATTGTTTTTGTCACGATTGTCTTCAAAATTCCATTTTTTGTACCTAACAACACATGTCACATCTGATTCATCATGTTTTTGTATTTAATAGCTACAGGTGGCTACTGATTGTACCTGGCCTCACAAAATATCCTGAGATTAAGTGTTATACAAAAGTCCAAGTTAAAAAAGTGGAGTTGGTAAAAGTTTTTCTTGAGTCTGATAAGTGTGTAGATTGATTAACAAAATCTTAAAAGCATAATGATAAGTATTTATACATTCTGCTCCCTATTTCAAAGGAATGCAATATATCAAACACTGTGAGAATTGTGTTTATAGATTTTGGGTTTTTTAGGTGCATCATTAAAATAGTGTGTCTGTAAAAAGAAAAAAAAAGTGGAGTTGGAATGAGGATGTAGCTCAGAGTAAGGTACTTCCTTGGCTTGTATAGGGGCCTTAGGTCAATCCCCATTACTAAAAACAGTTAAAAAAAAAAAACCCTACAGTTCACAGTTGAAGAAATGTTGTACCCATGTGACCTGAAGTGCCTGTGTTTTCTGGATTAGTTATTCTCAGCAGGCCTCTGGACAGATGTTAGCATGTCCTTTTAAAAATGTGGCATAAAAGATCACATTCAACATTTTCCTGTTGTCTCGGTTACTTTTCTCTCACTGCTGGTACAAAATACCTGACACCCAAAATGAAGGAAAGAAGGTTTATTTAGCTCACAGTTTGTAGAAGTTTCAGTCCGTAATCAGCTGGCTCCAAGGCAGAGTGGCACATGGAAAAGGGGAACACTTCACGCAGCAGAAAACAGCAAAACAGTAAGAGCAAGAAGGGAGGAGCAGCGGCAGAGGCAGAGGGCAAGCCTCTTTCCCTCCAGTGTACTGCCTTCAGGCTATCTGTCCCGGGGAGCAGGTGTAGCACTCACACCCATAATCCCAGCAATGGATCATGAATTAATCCCAAACTCTAGAAGCCCTACTTGGGGCTTTGGAGGAGGGCATCTAGATACAAACCATAACATCTGTCGTACTTTTCTAAATTTCCTTTTAAAAATAAAAAATAGTAAACATTCATTACTTATGTAATCAGTGGGGAAAAAGGCAAATTTTATTTTAAAATCTTTGCAGTGGCTGAACTTTGTGATGTTGTTGTGAATACAAACAGGATTCTTTTGGGAGACTTATTTATAACTACTTTTGTTAGTCTTAAAGTAGCAGAATTCTGTTTCTTCTGTGTTACTTCATTATTTTTTTCTTGTAATATTAACATATGATTAGTTCTTTGGTTGTATAACATTAATTCTTTTGACTTTATGATTCTAATTATCCCTTTAAAATTAGGATTAATGTTACATCCAGAGCTCTTCTATGTTGTATGGTCATATATGATGGTGAGGAAGGGAAGGAAGGGAAGGAAGGGAGAGACAGAGGTTGATTTTGAACCCACTCAGTTCTTTCTTACTGTGTTTAGTGCTAACACAGCTGAGAAGGCTGTTTCTCTTCTGACTCTGTGCTCGACTCGCAGTGGTATCCACATCCTCTTTTATTAGTTCGCCCTGCCGTATTGAAGATTTTGAAATTTATATAAGAGGACGTGGGATATCTAGCTTCCAAATGTTAGTTCCTTCATTTAACCATATCTGTTGTCCTTCCTGATTTGGATCAGACTTTTAGGATCTTTGAGGTCTTCCAGTTAGCACTCTTACTTTGTAGTTGAAGCGACTTAAGCCATGAAGCTGATGGCAGTAGTAGTAACTGACACTTAAAGAGTACTTCCTCAATGCCAATCACTGTGCTGAGTGATTTATGAGTATTATATGATTTAATCCTCTAACTTTATCAAGTATATGTTTATATTTACTTCATTTTACAGGGAAGTATATTAAGGAATACATTGTGTAGGATTTCTTGCTTAGTAAGCAGCAGAGCTGTGACTACTACAGGTGATCCGTGCACCAGTTCTGATTAACTGGAATCACCACCAACAATGCTGGCTTAGATGCTAGGCTCTGAATGTAACATGAGTTTACCACCTATTTTTATTCTTTCAAGTTTAATTTAGAAAACATCCCTAGTGCACAGTTGAGAGAGTATCTTAGTTGTTTTTCTCATTGCTGAGACAAAATATCCAACACTCAGTTAAAAGGGGAAAGCTTTATTTAGCTCATGGTTCCTAGAGGTTTCAGTCCAAAATCAGCTGGCTCCAAGGCAGAGTGGCACAAGGCAGAAGGGTAATCGTTCATAGTGGTGAAAGACAGCAAAAGCAACAAGAGTAAGACAAGCCTCTTTCTGCCCCTTCTATTGAATCCAGTTTACCAGGCTTAGAACAGGGACAATTCACTCAGTGAACTGATCCAGAAACCACCCACCCTTAATCCTGGTTATTGCACTATGATTCAATCACACATACTATTTTCACCCACCTCAGAAATCTGTATGACTGCATGACACTTTGGGGAGACAAACCATAACAGAGAGCTCTAGCCTTCAATTTTATCTTCTTTGAACATCCTGACTCCATGTGTCTCTCATGTCCATAGGTCACAGCAAACCAGAATTCCAGAAGACCAGCAAATGGAAGAACTATATCCCACTTGTGGGTCACGAGAGAGTGAAGAAGACATTACAGTCCAGAAAGAGGAAATAGCTATCGACTATATGTCTTTTCCCAAAGAGAAATTAGCTGTGTCCGAGAAGAATGTAGCTCAACTGATTAAGGAAAAAATGGTACAACAAACCAAAAACTTTACTAGATTTTTGTTCCATTTAAAAATATGTCCATGATTAGAGAAGTCCTACTTTCACTCAGAGGGAAGCAGAGAAGAAGATGCAGTATTTCTTAGTGAAGAGGAAGAAAATAGAGTAGAGCATAGTTGCACAGCCAGCCACCTTCTAGTTCTATACAGAGTTCACTATCTATCTGACCTTCAAGGGTTTGCACCTCTAGTGTTAAATTTAATGTTTGCTAGGTCCTGCTGCTGTTTGAAATGGCTAGTCAGGTAAAAGATGAGGGTCATTGAAGCTAAGTACTCAGGAGGAAATGAATAGAAGAACTTGTTTTTAGGGTATATGAGTAGGGTAGAATCAACTACACTTGACAGAGTTTGGATGTGGGGTAGGAAAGAATAAGAACACACGCACAAAAAAAAAAGATGAGGGAAATTTAGTTCTACCTCCCTATGATGGGCTGGAGATTTTATTTTCCTAAAATTGTAACTTTTTGTCCTTTACAGAATACCCAGGCAAACAGAGAGCTGATTCGATGTGTCATCTTCTCTCGGATTATATTTGGAAAAGAACACTGGAAATGGGCACAGGCATTGACCAACTTGGCATATGGCTACCTGACACTGAGAGGTACTTGGTTTCCCAGATGGGATCTGATTGAGCCAGACTGTGAAACTGAAATGAGCCTTCTTGTCGTAGGGATACCTGGGAGGGCACCTTTCCACCCCCAGATTATATCTCATCAAGAGAAAGTAAAATCTATAGATAAGGCAGACAGTGTAGCTTTTTTTTTTGGGGGGGGGGAATGGGAATTGAATTCAGGACCTTGTGCTTGGCAGGGAGGCACTTGTGCTGCTGAGCTGTCTCTTCAGCCCAAGATGACATATCTTAACAATAAAGATAATAATAGTTGTGATAGTGAGTATTTGGTATAGTATATGGCAAGGAAATTTTATTTAGTCCTCATAATATTCCTTGCAGGATTTACGGATAAGACACTAAAACACAAAAGACTGTCTAGAGTTCCTGACACAGGTCAGTGGGGCAGGGGCAGACAGGTGTATACAGGGAGCAGCACAAGGCAGACCCAGTGATAGAAATTGAATTCCAAACATTAAATTTCAGTTGCTGAAAGGAAAAGGTAGGGTCTTCATCTTAGAGAAGCGTCGTTTCTAGAATGTGTCTTGTGTAGGAATCTAAGATGGAATGAATCTATTTTCTGAAATAGAAATGAATGGAAACCTCTGTGAGGGCAGAGACTTTGCAATAGAAGCTCAGTAAATATTTGTTGACTGATTGAGGCACAACCAGATTTTACAAGAAGTGTCATGGCCAGCTCAAGGTCCTCTGCTCCTTCTTTCATTTTAAAGAATAAAAAACAATAAAAGCAATACAGAATTTCAAAACAAGATGACAGGAAATTAACAATGGTTGTTATATTGTATACTGTTATCTTCAAAGTAGTTGTTCAGATTACCAGGTATAAGCATGTATAATTCATCAAACAATATAAGCACGAGCTGTTCTTTTCAGTAAAATAATAGATATTACTAGTATAATTATCTTAGTTATGTTGTGTGCATATATATATATATATATTTTTTCCCTTCCTTCTTTTCTCCTTTGCCCTGTTCCAGTTATTCTTTCCTTTTAAGCAATTTCTTTCTCTTTCACAATATCTATTGTTACTTTTGGATCTTATTTACTCTTTCAGTTTCTTACACTATGGAGACAATATGATGCTAACAGATGCTAGACTGATTTATTTCACTTATGAGTATGGTCTCAGGTTGCATCCATTTACCTATAAAAGCCTTGAATTTGTCTTTCT